AAATCAGTATTGGTATCATTGATACTGGCCTTCAGTCATAAAAAAGATGCCATTAAACAAATATTAAAAAAAAAAAACTGTCTTTATGTTGTTTGTACATTAATTTGAAGATTGAATGTGAAATTATTGCAATATAAACGTATATTTAAGAACTTTAATGTTAGGTGGGATTAATCGTGATTAATTTCAGAAAAATGTGCGGTTAATTAGTAATTTTTTTTAATCGATTGACAGCACTACTATATATATATGTATATGTGTGTATATATATATATGTGTGTGTGTGTATGTGTATATATACAGTGGTGTGAAAAAGTTTTGGCCCCCTTCCTGATTTCTTACTTCATTTAAAAACTGCTTGTTGTGTTCACTTGTGTTATCTTTTACTCATATTTAAATTTGTTTGATGATCTGAAACATTAAAGTGTGACAAACATGCCAAAAAATAAGAAATCAGGAAGGGGGCCAACACTTTTTCACACCTCTGTATGTGTATATATATATATATATTTACCTTTTTATGTTTTGTAAAAATATTAAAGATCACGGTACCAGTATAATATGTGCAGTATTCAGGCGTGTGTGTGTGTTTCTGCAGAGGTGCTTTATTCACATCTGTCGAGTTCAGCTTTAAGCGCCGCCGCTGCTGTATTTCCTGCTTGTGTTGAATCATGTGCTCCTGCAGCAGCAGCAATATGGCGGGACTGACACGCGCTGACATGCTGAAATATGGCAGAAGGTCCTGCTGGATCTCTGCTGTGCTCCTGATGCTCGCGGCTCGTGCCGTCGCTCAGACGGACGCCAGTAATGTGCAGACGGTGGCCGACGCGAACTGGACGCTCATCCTGCACGACGAGTGGATGATCAAATTGTGAGTACGGTGTGAGAGATCTGATCTGATCCATAAGCTGCAGGATTCAGGTGTGAATGATCAGATTATTAGCGCTGGGATTCGAGGATGCTTTGATCTGCCGCGCGCTGCATCAGTGTAACAATTTATACTGTAACAGTGTCTAAATAATAACAACAACAATGTATGCTGTGCAGCGACGGGTGTGCAGAGTTCTCACCGGAAGTGATTATAAATCTCTCTTTTTCTGCTGCAATAGTTTATATTTATGCACGCAAATCGTTTCAAATCGCCATGCTATACTATACAGGTCTATATGCACAGATATTGTGGATGTTATTGTGTAAATAGTGGCCTACAGTGAACATGTTCACATCACCAGGGTTACACCCACATTTACATCCGATATGCAACGATTAAATAATATTATTTATGCATGCATGTAAATGAATCGCTCTGTCTCATGTGTTTTTATCAGTTATGCTCCGTGGTGTCCGGCCTGCCAACATTTACAAACAGACTGGGAGAATCTTGGAAGACAAAGTGAAAGTCTGGGCATATCAGTGGGCAGGGTTGACGTTACTCAACAACCAGGTTTGACCATTGCTTCTTCCTGTATATGATGCAGTTTTGAAATGATCTATTTGTGTGTGGATTTTATATATATATATATATATTAGTATGTATACACACACACAGATAATTAATACAATATAATACAAAAATATTACTAAAATGTATTGTTATTATTACTACAATTACTTATTGTATTTCCTGTGTGTGTATATATATATATATATATGTATGTGTATTTTTTTTATATTTTTTTTGGAACTTGGTTACAATTAGTCTGATGTCAGTGCAAAAACATCTTGACATTATGCAACAGTTGCAAATCTGAAGATACTATAAAACAGGATGAGCCGCATTCAGAGCCGTTGAAAAGAATTATATGCGTATGATACTATCATCAGTGTGAAGGCCTTGTTTGCGTCCGGTCTGATCAACAGCAGTGTGTCTGGCATTTACATTGAACACTGCCGGATTGTTTGCTCACAGAGTCCCTTTAAGTTTAGTCATGTGGCTTAAATGAACTACAGTGGGACTTTAAAGCGGCCAAACTTGAGTTGTGCTTTTAAAGGGGTCATATGATGCTTTTTTTAAAGATCATTATTTTGTGTATTTGGTGTAACAGAATGTTGACATGCTTTAATGTTCAAAAAACACATTATTTTTCAAATACTGTAGATTATTGTAGGTCCTCTATGCCCCGCCTCTCTCAAACGCTTCGTTTTCTACAAAGTCCCTCCTTCCGACAAGCGCAGTCTGCTCTGATTGGCCAGCTGACCCAGTGCATTGTGATTGGCCGAACACCGCAAGCACTCGTCGGCAATGTAACGCCCCTTACCATAATCACGAGCTTCATCTTTCAAAATAAATGTAAAGACAGAGCCCGAAAGGGGAACAGAGTTGCATGACAGACACAGTGATGAATATGTGTTTGCAGTACACAAGCCACGGTTAAGACAGCTGACTCCACTGTGATGTGACCCTCTCTCTCGCGCGTGCGCGCACACACACACCGCTCTCTCTCGCGTGCACACACACCGCTCTCTCGCGCGTGCACACACACCTCTCTCCACACACACACACACAC